CAGTTGCTAGGCAAGTGCTTCAGTCCTCAAGCACCCCCCACCAAGGCCCTGAGTTCGATCCTCAGCACCCCCCAAACAATAAATAAATAAAGAAAAAGAAAAAGGGGGATTATTTGTGATTAGGTCCTACACAGTATTTCCCCTGCGTGGCTTATATTAAGCATTGCGTTGACCACACTGGGTCGTCCAGGGTCCCAATGTGGCCCTGCTTCTCAGTAGACTGCTACTCAGTGAAGATAAATAGTTCCTTCATTTCTTCATCAAGGAAAATAGTTCCTTCATTTCTTCCTCAAGGCTCTGTCTGCTGAGCAGTGGTGTAGTTTGTTGTCTTTGGCCCTCCAGGCCCTGTCGCTGCTGCTGTGCTCTTCTCTTCTGTTGTGGAGCTCGTCCCGCAGGACAGCAGACGGACAATCTGGCTTGGAACACACCTGCCGGGCCAGCAGCCTCCGTTTTCTAAGCCTCCTGGGTATTTGGTTTTGATTTTTTTTTTTTTTGGGGGGGGTGGTATTGGAAACTAAACCCAGGGCCTTGGCACTGAGCTATAGCTTCAGCAATTTTTTATTTTATATTTTGAGACAGGTCTTATGAAGTTGCTGTGTTGCCTGGAATGGGCTTGAATTTGCCACCGTCCTGCCTCAGCTTCCCAGGTAGCTGGGATTACAGTTGTCTGTTGCCTGGCTGAGTCTGTCAGTTCTAGAGTGAGCAGTGTTTACCCCAAGTGGGCTCCTGGCCACTTCCCCCACTCCTCAGTTCTGCAGAAGTAGCCTTATGAGGGGCTCACACTCACGTGTACATACTTGTCCTGTTACAGGCCCGTTCCTTGCTTTTTGTCCCCTCATAGAATATATGTGTGCTATGTGAATGTGTATCTTCCTTTCTTTCAGGGGTTGGGGTGAGACGGTCTCTCTCTATGTAGTTCAGGCTGGCTTTGAACTCACTATGTAGCCCAGGCTGAATTGAACGCATGGCAATCCTCCTGCCTCAGCCTCCTGAGTGCTAGGACTACAGGTGTGTGCCACCATGCGTGGTTGGAACTAGTTTTCTACATGTTACTTGTCTTGTGCACCTACTGAGTGATCTTGTGGTCTGCTTGGCTTATTAGGAATCTTCAAAATCCATCCCAGTTCCATGGTTACAAAATCCAACAATGCTGCCAAACCCTGGGATCTATCACTTCCCCTGGGAGGTTGCCGCTGGCCATGTTCCAGAAGGAGGTGCGCTGCGCACATTTGGCAGGTAGGAGGGGGCAGTTTTCACATGTGATACTGGGGACTGAACTCAGAGCCTTCACAGTGAGCTACATCCCCAGCCCATTTTTTTACTTTGAGACAGGGTCTAAGTTGCTAAATGGCCCAGGCTGGGGTTGAGCTTCTGATCCTCCTGTGTCAACCTCCCAGAGTGTTGAGATTATAGATGTGCACCACCACCCCTGGTTTAAAACAGTTTTATAATTTTGTTTAATTATGAAAAATGCTAAAAATTAATATGTATGCATTGCAGAAAAAAAGTAGATGATCCATGAAGGAATAAAGAAAGCAAAAAATCTCCTGTAATCCCATTGTGCAGACAACCTCTGCTCCCTTTGCCGTTACCTCTGTATACCTTTTTGTATGTGTATGCAGGTGGTTCGTAGCTAGGTGGGTGTGCACGTGCCTGATATGTGTACATATGTATGCACTGTGTGAGTTACATAGGCTGTGTAGCAGACTGACCCAAATATGTGCCTTCCCATGACAGTGAGTGTGTATGTCTCATAGTGTCAGTCAGGACCTTGGCAATGGCTTTGCTGGGCGAGTTTGGCTCAGGGTGTAAGAGGTCACAGGTCAGATATCATCCAGCTATATTCATTTGGTTGCTTGACTGAGACTGGACGATCCACTTGCAAAGTGAGTTATGCCTATGGCTGGAGAATCATTGCTGGCTCTTGGTAAGAAGACTGAACCCACTTAGGCCGGACATAGTGG